GCTTGAAATAAGTTCAAATCATTTGTAGATTGCGAATCGGAAAGAGGGCACCTAAGAATTGCATCGTGGAAAGAGGAAGCCGATTCTTCATACGCTTATTTTTGGGAGTCAAGCGAAGTCACTTTCATCAGAAGGGTAAAGCACAGGTGAGTTGTGAAACAATAAAAGTGCCTTACCTGGTATAGTGCTCTTGCAAGACATACGCGTGCACGCTGACCTCCAGACAGAGTCGTTCCCTGAAGTTATTTTTCCTGCTTTGTAATTTTTTTACTGGTACCACTTCTTTGTTATCCTTGTTTTACCAACAAAACAGAAAGGATATACTATTTTTTGGTGAAACTCGACTTTTGGATAGAATTAATACACATGATTTGAACTAACATTTTCTCCGACGATGGTGGCGTCACAACGTGGTAAAGTGAAGATATCCTTTTTCAGTTCACATGCTCTCAAAACCTACAATACCTTTATTTAATTATACAGAGATTTAAATAAGAACGCACTCTCTTCACACGCACACTTCTTTGAGAGTGGAACAGATTTTTTATCACTGTAGAATGAGACAGACGCCATCAGAACAGTGGAAATGACTGAAGCTGAGGGTTTGAAGCAGGGTCAAGCGAACCGTCGAGGAAAATTTGGAAATACGACCCCCCCCTCCCTCCCCAGAGGCCGAAGTCCATGAAACGACCCTCTTCAAAAGCCGAACTATGAAAAGTTGTTTAATTCTCCACCAAAACTGCTCATAAAAAAGCCCTGCTACCCCACCGTCCACAAAAAATTCGTTTAAGAAGTACAAAAGTGAAAAAGTCAAAGAATGATCATTATTGATGAGTCCTACCAAACGAGCAAACGAGAAACGGAGCAAAAACGACAAACTAGTCACTAAAAATGGCATACTATGACAACATCTCTTCTTTATTTATTTCACAAGACTTACCAAATTCTAGTACTACACAGATTATGGTTCTCAATTTACACGTCCCCCTTTCGCTCAAAGGAAGCCTTGTAAAAGCCTTCGCCAGCTGTGTGTTGACCGTGGAGCAGCTTATTTACTATTGAAATTTGAACAAATATTCAAATGATTATAACTTTCTTCAAAGTTAACGAATTTTCAATCTGAAAGCAGATTTGGGAGTTTTGTGAAGAGCTTTTTCTAATCAGTATTGAAATTACAAAAAGTTATAAGAAATAACAAATTTAGGTTTATAGACGATAAAAATTTTAGATCGATTAACGAGGAAAATTCATGATGAAGCACGAGTTTTCTTGAAGCCAGAATAACTTTCTCATTTCTGAATATCTGATTAATAATTAACTTAAAGTCAATCAAAATAGAAGATTTTCTTTTTATCGAACTAGTTCATTAAGATAGCCTCATAGGCACTACTTAAAAAAATGGCCACGTTGAGGATTTTTGCAAAATTAACGAGGAAAATTCGTGATGAGTGCGAGTTTTTACGTTTTCCAAAGCCATATTCTCCTTCAAACTCATGCCAATCTGGAAAGTTAATACGTCGTCATAAACTAGAAGATTTGCTCTTTCTAAAGTTTACTAGCACAGCTCATCACGTCCACTATTCACAAATGCAGTCGAGTATTTTTGCCAGGTAAACTGCGAATGGTACTTTTTGTGCTGGCATTGGCATACTTCAAAGAATATAGCTACCTTCAGATTGGAATTTTCTACTAAAGATTGTGCAGATTGATTTCTTTTCTAGCTTTAGTCCTTCCGGAAAAGAAGAAATGTTTGGCGTAAATCATTTATACACTTATATGTTCATGCATTTTGACTGCTGACGGCTGTCATTTGTTTTGAATAGTGAACTCCTCCCTGTAATTTCTCACGAACCCTTTCAGAATCCTCTTGATTTTTCCTGAATTGAGACTTTCCAGAGAGCCGTAGTTGAAGCGCGCGCAACTAATTGGCGCCCACTCTGGGATGCGCCGTGTGCTTCACATCCCTTCAGATTCGAGGACTCACTTGAAAGATAAAATATCCGTGGAAAACGTGCGATTTTAGATTCTTTAACTTGTTTGGTGATAAAACACTGAAGTACTAAGAATCACTACGCGGACACCTCTGAATCACGAAGATTTTGTGTGGGCGGAATCAATTGTTATTGGAAATCCTCTGGCCTGGCATCGACTCGATCCTTGATGTTTGTCCTCCGACGGTGATGATCCTACTGCATGCATCAATCTGGCCGATCTCTTCCTCCCAGCGGGCCAATACGACCCCCCCCCCCTGTGACCTGTCGAGGATTCCTCAACGCACGCTTGACCCTGGTTTTAAGTGATTCGATGCAATAAAGCAACCCCAAACCAAGGGGCTGGGATGCCGAGGATTCTTTGATGGGAGCATTCGGTATTCGTTTATTTATATTCATTTGTTTATTCATCTATTCTAGGTGAGAAACGACGTAGGTAGCTTTTCGGGGAGGGAGGTTGCCGTATTGTAAAATTAGCGCAGTACTTTCGGTGGAAGAGCAGGGCTTAGCTCGAGTTGAGATTTCGATGTGAAAAGTTACTAGATTTTTTTCCTAGAAATAATCACTAAAATTCGCGATAATTTTTTATTTCGATTTCGGTATTTGGCGTCTTGGTGTCATAGATAGCTCTTCTCTACCTCTCTCCGCTTGATTTCTTGATGGAAAATAGGCACTTCCAAAATTTCACTACATGTACAGGGTGGGGCAAAATTACTGGTGCACCTATACGTTTTGAATTTTTTAACACTTCTTGGAGATTTTCCTGTTTCACTCGCTTGTGATATGTTGCCTGGAGGTTGCGTAATTCCTACGTACTCGAATACAAAATGGTCCGTCGTTCTGACCTACGGAGCGCGATCATCAAACTTCACAACGACGGCAAGCAAACAAGAGAAATTGTGAAGATCCTTTCCGTACCTCGAAGGACGGTTCAGAATACAGTACGACGCTATAAAGAACTGAAGACCGAAGAGGACAGGGAAGGAAGAGGACGTCCCACAACAGCTACGAGTCGGAGAAATGTGAGGCTCGTCAGAGAAAGAATTCGAAGGAACGCCAGGAGATCGATGCGCCAGATGGCGAAAGACGTTGGAGTAAGCGCGAGGTCAATGAGGAGGATTGTCAGAAGTAAGCTAAGGAAGTTCCCCTATCGCTTGCAGAAATGCCAACTCCTGACGGACATTATGAAGAAAAGGAGATTGGAGAGATGCAAGAAGTTGCTGCAGCGATTCACGGTGGCACGCGCCCGAGACATCGTTTTCAGTGATGAAAAGATTTTTACTCTGAATCCAGCCTTCAACTCCCAAAATGAGAGGATTATTGCAGGATCACTTGCTGATGCTACCACCAAGGCAAGACTCCAGGAAAGAGCGAAACACCCCCAGTCCATTCTTGTTTGGGGAGGAGTCACCTCTACGGGGAAGACCCCACTTGTTTTCGTTGAAGCTGGTGTAAAAATCAACGCAGAGGTTTACAAAAATATCCTGGAGGAAGTTCTCAAGCCGTGGGCCAACTCCCATTTCGGAGAAGCCTACTGGTGCTTCCAGCAGGATTCTGCTCCAGCACACAAAGCAAAGATGGTCCAGGAGTGGTGCGCCGAGCACCTGCCCGACTTCATCAGACACGACGAATGGCCCTCCAGTTCTCCTGATCTAAACCCGATGGATTACTCTGTGTGGTCCATCTTGGAGAGCAAAGCGTGTTCTACCAGACATCCAAACTTGGACTCTCTTAAGGCGGCGCTTTCAAAATCTTGGGACGAAATCGATGACCAGTACCTGCGTGCCACATGCGAAGCATTTGTCGAACGTCTGAAGGACTGTGTGAAGGCTAAAGGAGATCATTTTGAGAAGCATTAACATTTTTTGTATTGTCATGTTTGTAGTAAATAATATTGATAATTAGAATTGATTTGTGAGAATTATTGTCAAAATGCCATTGAAAATTTAGTGCACCAGTAATTTTGCCCCACCCTGTAGAGTGTTATACATACAGGGTGGGCAAAAATTACGGTAACAAGATAAAGTGTTCATGGAAAAGCAATACGGCCAGGAAGACACACGTGGATACCAACAATATATTCTTATGCATCACTTCTTGGACTGGCCGCTGTCTGCGTTTATACCTGAGTGAAGTCATCTCGGGAACGCATCGTGCCTGTTGTGTAGGTAGGTGACATCGAGCTTTCCCTAGGATCTTCTTTAATTCATCGATGCTTTAGATGATACTTGTAGCAGCCCATCGTCTTCAGTAGGTTTCACTGGGAGAATAAAGTTGCCTCGTTTAATGTCATGAATTCGGAAAGTTCTGCAAAACCAATGTTGCACAATATTTGCTTTGTGTACAGCGGTCTATCTTGCTGTTGTGTCCAGTGATTTCTCTCCGGGGTCTCTTCAGCCAGATGCATTTATTAGGTTCGAAGGAAATCGAGATGTTTGTTAGCGCTTGTTACCGTAATTTTTGCCCACCCTGGATAACCGTACTTGTTTGCCGTAACAGCGCCATCAAAAAACGCACCTTGTCGTATCTGTTCCTATCGTAATCCATGCCGTAAAGGATGTTGCCCCGCATCGTATGATTGAGTATCCATGGCGTCTGTGGCACATAAGCGACCGAGCCGCAAACCTTTCTTACACCATCTAGCTGAGTCATTTCACCTGCAAAAGATTAAGGTGATAGCAGCTGGATGCACAGCCGACAACTCTTCTCAAACTTACGACAGAGGCTTCTACAATGAGTGAAACAAACGCTGTTTCCCTGGCTGACAGCATAAGACCCAAGTGAATTGAATTAGGGTTTATGCACACTAAACTAGTGTTTTTATTCAGCTTAAACACTGCGAAGCTCGATTCACGCCATCCAACCAAGCTACTCAACTACTTGTCAACGAATTGATGCTACGATCTTTTTCACCTTCTCGCAGTCTTACCAAACGCGCTTTATGAATAACAGTTCTGTCCCTGCTGCAACTGCAGAAAAATCTCTTTCTCTTCTTATTCCAATTCGGCTTACATCCACTTCTGAGATCAACACCCCGTGCACCCAATACGTATGCAAAAACCGGACATATTGTGTAGTACGGAGCATAGGCAGGGATAGCCGAGTGGTTAAGAGGTTAGACTCATGTCTGCACCTCTGAAAACCGCGAGTTCGATCCCTGCCGAGGTTAACCATGCCTTGCAAAAATTGCAAAAATGGTTCTAGTACCAGCGTCAGGCCCAGGTTGACAGGCCGGCTGATGAACACCCCAGTCACACCAAACATGTCTAAAAGTCGCAAAAGAATCAGTGATAAAGCTAGGACGTCACCCGGAAGTGGCGCGCAGAACCCCCGCCCGAGTTCTGTGGTCAGTATGCGAGGGCTACCGAGGAGTGAACGGCCTCGGCCAAAGAAGCTAGTTCGAATAGGGACTCTGAACGTAGGTCGCTAACTGGGAAGTCCCGAGAGGTTGCTGATCTGATGACGCGCAGGAATATCCAAGTCCTATGCCTTCAGGAGACGCGATGGAAAGGTGCTAAGGCCAGGGAAATCGGGGAAGGTGTCAAACTCTACTACAATGGAGAAGACACCAAGCGGAACGGTGTGGCCATAGCGGTAGCGGAGTCGCTCAAGGACTATGTCTCCGCTGTGAACAGGATCAGCGATCGGATCATGGCTGTGAGGATAGACACGAAGGAGGGGTACTGGACCATACTCTCCGTGTACGCACCGCAAGCCGGATGCCCCGAAAGTGATAAGGACGAGTTCTATCTGAGCCTTGACGAAGCCATCAGAATCGATTCCGGAAGGCGATTACCTGACCATAGCAGGTGATCTGAATGGTCACGTCGGCAGTGACAGAAGAGGCCTGGAAAGGGTGCACGGAGGTAGAGGAATAGGAGTGAGGAACGCCGAGGGAGAGAGGGTCCTGGACCTGGCTACGGCCCACGATCTGGCAATCTGCAGCACGTTCTTCGCGAAAAGGGAGACTCAGAAGGTAACCTACAGCAGTGGAGGGAGACAAACGGAAATCGACCATTGTGC